CACACACACACACACACACACACACACACACACACACACTAATATAAAAGCCCCTAAATGGTTAGAGGGCCTTGGCAGGAAACCTGAATGGAGGCTGGACTTTCAAAATAAACGTTCCCAGATAGATACATGACAGAAACTTATTGCATGAGATCTCCCTCTTGCTCAACACGGCAGTCTCTCTCCAACCAGCACCAAGCATAGGCAGACATTCAAAATTGATAGGGAGTGTTTTTCACTTTCCATGTAACTAAAAACAATACATATATTACAGGAGCTTACTGGGACATAGGAATGAGGCTGGACTTTCAAAATAAAGGCCCCCGGATGGTGATAGAACTGCTGTTTGCATCAATTCACATCCAAACTGAGTTATTACACACACTGACTCCTCTGCTCGCCTGTCTCTCTCTCTCTCTCTTTCTCTGTCTATCTCTCTTTCTCAAGCTGGGTGCAGTGACTATGTGCAGCATCTCAGAGTCTTTTAGCCACCGTGAGGTTGGACCATTGTGCCTAGTGACACAAGATCCAAAACCTGAGCTCACTGACCATGTCCACCAAACCACATTAGCTGGAGAAACTGCACTGGAGCAATATTTTAAAAGATGAACTTTTGTTCAACAAAAAAAGTTGTATCCTGAGATTCTACCCAAAATCAGTAAGACATTCTTATCTGACACCATAATCACTGTAACAAGGAAAAAGGAAACGCTGTAAAAATCTTAAAGTATTGCTTTAAATTTCAATGTAATAAATACTGGAACACATATATAACATAACATATAATTTCCCAATTAGTTATCATACAGACCCATGTTAAGGCTATTATTCAGAGAAAAGAGTTACAGGCAGTGTTTGTCTCACATGTTGATCCATTTAATCTTTATGTGCATGGCTACACATGAAGAAGCTGTTATTGAGGGCTGCTCGCTCCACTGGCTGATCCTCTTGACAAACCACTAATGGCTTATCTAATACATGTCACAAATAAGGGGCATTGTTGAGAATATGGTTAGAGAGCCTTCAGACCACTACACTGTTGATGGACAAATGTGATAAAATGGATCGTTAATACCTGAGACATGTCCGATACTTCCAACAGAGGGTTCCATACTGAATGTCTCAATCGAGGAATTGTGTTGGCAGATTCTCTTTTCAAAGGCAGGTCAAGATTTGTCAGTGGCATGAAAAAGTGGGCTTCTCTACGATGTATTTGTGGAGGATGCCTGAGAGTAGGAGATATAAGCTGGGTAGATTGTGTATAAATGGCAATCGGGCTCTCTGATAGATGAGTAATAAGACTTATTAGCATGTATGCACACACCCTGGCCATGGCTCAACACTCTGCTTTGTCTGGGATAAACAAGCACTTGGTGTAAGAGAGTTCCATATTTTACCTCTAATTTCATCTGCACAGCCCAGAATGCACCTCTTAGAGAAAAGACCTGATGTTAGGTGATATAATTTGGAATGATGTCAAGTATATCTTATGAAAACCATGCAATGTGCCTCATTTACATAACCCTGACTTTGTGCACAAGCGTCCATACTAATATTGCATTAACTTCCCATTAGTTTTTTTTTGCTTCGTCGTCCTTTTTGAATAACAAGGCAAACAGAGATGGATCCCAGTGTCTCACCATGCTCCATAGCAAACAAAGTGAGCTGCACAAAGAGGACTTTCTTCCATCCAAACATTATGTCACGGCTTGGGCCATTTCCATGTTGTTCTTTGTCCCTCCTCTTCTTCCCCCTCCTGTGTGTGTGTGTGTGTGTGTGTGTGTGTCTCCCCTTTACTAAGTGTGAAATGCCCGAGTCTCTACGACTTTCAGAAAAAAAGTTATTCA